ATGGTAAGTTTAAGTAGATAGCACATGCCAGGGATCATTTTTTCTATTTTTCATAGGTCCGCATTCTTATAGATAAATGTGCAGCAAAAGTGGCTGTATTCTTGTTTAACATCTTTACTGTATTTAGACTGCTGATCTTTTTACAGAGTAACAATGGGCATGAATTCACAGCAGAAATCATTAACAATCTTTCAAAATTGTGGCCAAATCTTAAAATAATTTACGAGAAGCCAAAAAAGCCACAAACACAAGGTTCTGTTGAGAGAGCAAACTTTGTGCTAAAAGACAAACTTGGAAAATAGCTTGAGGATCGCCAAAACGAAAATGAAGATTTATGTTGGACAGTTGGCTTAGCAACTATAATTTATTCAATGAATTTATCTGTATGTCGTGCTACTAACAAAAGACCATTTGAGTTAGTTTTTGATCATGAACCTCGTGGTAATTATGTTCTTATAGATCAGCTTTGGTCTCAGGGTGTTCGATATGAAGAAAATATTCCTGATGATGTTCAGATTGAATATTATGATGATATTCAGTTTGATGATAATGAAGAAGAAAGCATCCAGGTCGAAAACAATGAATATGACAATGAAAATGATGAATTTAATGAGAATAATCATGAAGACGACATATATTACACGGTAAATATTGATTTTATGAAATTAAATAAAATAATAAAAATTATCATATTTATTTTCGCATTTTAGAATTCTCCATCATCGAATAGTATGCAGTATATGGCAAGTATTAAAATTGATACACTTTAAAATATAAAATTATTCAAATACTTAGAATTCGTTATTGCTGCTGTTTAACATGATAGTAAACTTATTTTAACAAAAAAAAAAAAATTCAGGATCCGTTGTCACCACTGCCACCTAATATGATGGTAAATATTAAAGTTGAAGAGCATATAATTGTAATTAAGGAATCGCTCTTACCTCAGCAAAAAAACAAAAAAAAAATTTAGAATTCGTTGTTGTCACCGCTGCTTCCACCCCACATGATAGTAAATATTAGAATTAAGAGCGTATAATTTTAATTAAGTAATTACTCTTACTTTAACACAAAAAAAAAATTAGAATTTGCCTTCGCTACCGCCACTTTCGCCTCACATGATGGTAAATATAAGTATATAATTTTAATTAAGTAATCGCTCTTTAACAAAAAAAAAAATTTAGAATTCGTCTTCGCCGCCACTGCTTCCTCCTCACATGATAAATATCAGAAATAAGAGCATATAATTTTAAGTAATCACTCTTATTTTAACAAAAAAAAAATTAAAACTTGTCTTTGCCACCATCGTTTTCACCCCACATGGTGGTAAATATCAAAATTAAGAGCATATAATTTTAAGTAATCGCTCTTACTTTAACAAAAAAAAATTTAGAACTTGTCTTCACCACCGTTACTTCCGCCTCATATAGTGGTAAATATTGGAATTAAGAGCATATAATTTTAAGTAATCACTCTTACTTTAACAAAAAAAAAATTAGAACTTGTTTTTGCCGCCATCATTTCCGCCCTACATAGTGGTAAATATCAGAATTAAAAGCATATAATTTTAAATAATTGCTCTTACTTTAACAAAAAAAATTTAGAACTCGTCTTCGCCACCATTGCTTCTGCCCCACATAGTGGTAAATATCAGAATTAAAATCATATAATTTTAAGTAATCGCTCTTACTTTAACAAAAAAAAAATTTAGAACTCATTTTCGCCACTGTCGCTTCCGCCCCACATGGTGGTAAATATCAGAATTAAGATCATATTATTCTAATTAAGTAATCGTTCTTTAACAAAAGAAAAAAATTAGAATTCATCTTCGTCACCGCCTAATATAATGAAAAATACAGTAAGTATTAATAAAAAATGATGCCTTTAATTGAAACTAAACGTTTATACTATCTAAAATTTTAGAATTTGCCACAGCTGCCACCGCTCAATATGATGATGGATATAGTAAGTATTTAATTAGGAATCATACCTGAATTAAGCATTAAATGTGAAATTACTCATACAAAACTCTAAAATTTTAGAATTCATTGTCACCTGATGTGGAGGAAAATATGGTAAGTATTGAATTAGAAAATGATACTGAAGGAAAATTGATAATTACACTTCTCTTCAGAATTTTTAGGTCTCAGCATTGCCGTCGCCATATAATATTGTGGAGAATATAGTAGGTATTGAATAAGAGCTGACATTTAACTAAACACAATGACTTATATGTATTGAAATTTTAGATTTCGCCGCTGCCATCATTTAACGAGACTATGGTAAATACAAAACTATAAATTTATTTCAACTTAAAAGTAATTAACTATACTTATCTTCAGGTTTCACTGCTGTTGCCACCTAACGAGAATATGGTAAATATTAGTAAAAAATAATAATTCAACTGAGAAAGCCATTTACACTTTTTTTTTTGAAATTTAGGTTTCGCCACTGTTGTCGCCTAATGAGAGTGTGATAAAAATCAATTAATTTATCAATATCTAAATTTGAGAAATGCTAACTTATAATTACTTTAAAATTATAGGTTCTGCCATTGCTGTCGTATGATAAGAATATGGTAAAAAATAAATCAGAAATGCATACTTTGGTTTGGAGAATTTACTGATCATAATTTGAAACTTTAGATTTCACCATTTTGGCCGCCACTTAATGCAGTAGCAAACATGGTAAGTATTTAATAAAAAAATAATACCTTAAATGAAAAATAATAACTTATCACTTATCTTTGAAATTTTAGGTTTTGCCGCCACCATTCAGCGCTGTAGAAAATATGGTGAGTATAATTTAAGCATTGAAGATGGATATGGAGGATTTGAGTCAATATCCTGAAAACAAGAATCCTGACAGGGTCGAAATTTCTAAAAAAATTTGCCAACTTTAAGCTAATCTTGGTTAACTTTGTCCCTATTAGGATTCCGTTTATCAGTATTTTAAATCAAACCCAGATATGGATAATAGATTTTTTTTATTAATTTTTATTTTTACTATTTTTTTACCCAGAAGTCTCTGTTGAATGATATGACTACGCAAATGGTATGCATTGGATTGTAAAATTAAATAAACATATTGGCCAGGCTATTCTCAAATTTAATTTTTAGTTTACTGTGTGGCTCAAGCATAGCTTTTCTATTCTATTTAATGATTTATTTTATTTTATTTTTTAAGAATTGGAGTTTTCGTCCATCTCCACCTTTTTATGCGACTCAAAATGTTATCGAAGCCAAAGCTATTAAACATTTAGAAGTTTATATGGAAAAAATGAAGGTGTAAATGGAAAAAGGGAGAAAACATCTACGTAGATTTGAACCAAATGATTTGGTTCAGATTTGAATTCATGAAGTTGATTGTGCTGGTATTGATCGATGATACATACCTTGTAAAGTATTGGAAATTACTGAGAATAACATATACGTTCTGGGCTGCCAATATAGAAGGTTGAACGAATATTATTCAGCTATTGAATTGATTCCTGTTACTGGAACTTTTAGAGAATATCTTGAGCTTGCAATTATTCCTAATACTTGTGTAAGTGCCCGTGAAGCTGCTATCTAACAAAGCTCCAGGTCTATAATTGCTACAAAATGTCTTTGCAAAGAAAATTGTTTGAAAAATCATTGTAAATGTAAAAAGGCAGGTGCAACTTGCAGTACTCTTTGCCATCCAAATAATGTTTATTGTTAAAATAATTAGAATTGAAATATTTTATATTAGTTAAGCTAATATGTAATTGCTTAAATAATTACAATAAATTTAAAATATTTTTTGCATTATTAAGTAAAATGTTTAATAAATAATATAAATAATTATTAGTATAGTATATTTATGATATTTCTTAAACTTCTATTAATGCCGGATGATTTTAATTGGCCAATTTATTTATGAATATTATAATGATCTACAATTTGCATCTGAGGCAAAACTGATAGCCCAAAATTAAATTGCCATCTGGGCCATTCCAATTGTCAACTAGGCCAATTTGCATCTGGAGCACAATATATATATCAAACTATGGAACCCTTCACAGCTGTGAGAACTGAGCTTAAAATGGCAAGCATACCTACAGAAGGATATTCATCCAAATTATTACTAACATCATCCAACTCCTATGATTTGGAAATATGCTATAACAAATTTCTTACTTATTACCAACTTTCTTTATTAAGAAAACCACAAATTGTTAATTCTTTTATATAATATTTACAACAAAACAATGTTAACTATCTAGCAGATCATGCTTTTATTACTGTTCACAGTAATAAAAGTAAAGCACATGTGTATCTACTACATGAATACAATATACTACCAAATCACTATACCCTATCTGCCAATGATTCACATGATATTCCTCTTAAATTACAATTCAATACACCTATTTTTATATTTACCTATTCTCTATCAGTAGCTTTTGAATCAAGTTCTAATGAACTCGAGTCTCTACCTTCCGATCTTTTTACATTTCTGCAAGACTCTAACCAAAACATTTCTAACTCATTCACCTTACTTTTATTATCCAGAGACTAAGAATTTTCTGACAGCTCTTACAATTAATATTCTAACTCAGTTACCAAAAGAGAAGCCTAGTAACACTACTGCCTTGATCACAATATTGATATTGCCTGTATTACTGAAACGAAAATTTCTGATAAACCTAATTTATCATTCTGCAACAATAATCTCTTCACATACTTTTGGGCTAACTCCAATAGCTCTGCAGAAGGTTCTGCTATTATGATACATAAGTTTCTTCAGCCTCATATTCATAACTATCTTACACATCCTGGTGGTGCTATAGCTATTGACCTATTTTTTAAAAGTAACATCAAACTTCATATTATTTCTGTATATCTTTCATTAACTAATATGTCAAAATGAAACTCAACCCAAAATACTATAATCAATTAGATTCAACTTGCCTTAAAACAAAACCTTCATCTTATTGTTCTTGGTGACTTCAATACACATAATAACATTCATAGCTCTTCAGCTAAATATAAACTTATTAATTATTTACACCATTCTAATATATATGATATTGGTGCCCATTTTAATAATACTTATCATACATAGTCAAACAATACTTTATCTAGTCGAATTGACTATATTTGGACTGACCAATTTAATATCCAATTTCTTTTATCATATACACTTGATATTAGCAAAACCAGCACTTGCAGTGATCACTTAATACTTAATACATTATGGACATTCTCTAATATATACAGTAAACCACTTTGCTTCCATACTAGTATAAGCTGTCATATATTTAATTATGGTGCTATAACTTCTCAAAATTAGACAGAGTTTTCTGAACTTCTTACATCTAAGCTTAACAATCACCATGTACCTCTCTTTTTACAAACTAGCAATAGTATCGACACTATTTGACATAAAATTGAATATTTTATTATACATAGTGCTATATCAATTATTCCTAATAAGATTAGTTACAAACATTGTTATAATCATAGATATACTCCTCATAGCACACAACTTTATCTATCACTTAAAAAACTTGGCCACCTTATTAAAAATCTTAAAAGCAGTAGTAAAACTTACAATATCTTCAGCATTAATTAACAAATTGACGAAATCAACTCATAGTCTCAATATAATCTCCAAACCCTCTCAGGTCTAAATTCTTTTTAAATTTCTGAATAGATAAAACATGCTTAAGATATATAGTACTAATTATTTCAAGCATGACATATAGACAATTCACTCCTTCTGCGTTAACAAATATAACAAGCCTCTGAAAATAGATGTGAAACTCTTATTAACAAATCTATATAAGCTATTAATAGTATCTTTAACCGATATTAAACTTCTATACACTTCAATAATATTAAACTACCTGATAAACTAATCACTGAGCCTTCCCTCATTAAACAACATATACAAAACCACTTCTTTAATTAGACTACTTATAAGCCAATTAATCAAACACTTTTTGATAATTTTTGACAACAACAATATCAACCACAAGCTTACATCAATCCTGACTATTACAATTCACTTATCTCTCTAATTACAATTGAAGAGGTAACCTCAATCATTTCTAAACTCCCAAATAGCAAAGCTTGTGGGCTTACAGGCATTAGCTATGAAATGATTAAGTACTCTGGCACTACATGCTTTCAAGCTTTTACAGTTCTTTTTAATCTCTACTTTACTCATTGTCAAATTCCAAAACAATAGAAGAACAGTAGAGTTTACCCTATACCAAAGTACAACACTTTTGATGGCAATCTTAATCTTACTCGTCCTATTAGTTTAGTTGAACACATTCGCAAAATCTACACTAAACTTATTACAAACAGACTTAATACTGTATTTCAGCAACACCCTATCCTATCTCCTTTTAATTATGTTGCTTTATCTGGAAATTCTACAGCTACTCCTATACATATTCTTAACAATTCATTGAGGATACTACTTGTAATCAAAAAGATTTATGGCTTTGTCTCAAGATATGAGCAAAGCTTATGATTCTGTCAATCTTTCTTTACTTCAACATTCACTTACTCACCTTGCTCTTCCAACTCCTATCATCAAAATTATAATAAATATCTTTGCAGATTGCTACAATCAGGTTATAACTAACCTTGGTTTAACTCCCTCATATCCTGTTCAAAATAGTATCGATCAAGGTGAAACTATTACTCCACTTTTCTGAAGAATATATTATGACCCACTTATATCTTATATTTACTCTCAAGTTCCTGGCTATGCTATGCAAACATCCTGGATTACTAATTTAAAAAATAGATCTTTTAATAAACTGCAAGCCAGATGTTCAGTACTGGCCTATATGGATGACAGTTTATGGCTTGCTTCTTTGTAAGATGAACTCTCACAAATTTTCTCTATTGCTCAATCTTTTTATACAATAGCCAATATCCAAGTTAATCCTTCTAAATCTATTTTCTGTACAAACAATCTACCTTTTTCTTATAATCCTATTATCTATAACCAACATCCTCTACATTTACATTCACCTTATATATCCTTCAAATTCCTTGGCTGCTGATTTATACTTGATAACAAATATAAAAAACAAACTCAATTTGTTATTGACGAATTATTACACTTTATTCAAATCGCAGACACAAAACACATTACTAACACTTATGCTAGGTATATTATCAACACTGTAATCATACCAACTATTGAATACTGACTATATAACCTTGTACTTGATCAATATACTTATAACAAAATACTATTACATCATATTAGACTTGTAAAACACAAAGCTAAGCTAAGCTGTACTATTCCCACAAGCACTCTTCTACATCCCCATTTTTGTAATATTTGCAATATCTTGGATATTCAACTTCAACACCATATTACAAACTTTATCAAGCAAATTAACAATCCTGATCTCTTAAGCACTAGCTCCCAAATTTGTCTCCAACAACTTCAAAACAATTTTTAGTCATCTATAAGCATTTTGACACACTCTAACCCTATTATTGATGGTCCTAACAAATACACAACTAACTTCAAAATTATTAAGCTCTTCAAGCATCTTAATATATCAATTAACAACAATCCAATTTATGATATTTCATATACTCCTCAAGAAGGCTCTATATCACTTAAATCTATTCTTTTATCACATTCTGACTATTCCACTTTTAAAAAACAACTTCAGCAACACCATATTCTTTATTTAGACCAACTTTTAACTTATGACAACTCCTGTCTTCTTAGTTGGGAGCATATTGTACCAAGTTTTTACAAAATTCCTCAAAGAAGAAAACCTTTATGGTTTACAACTCTTGAAGATCAAGTAACTAACCATCAGCTCAACAAAACACTTTATAGTTACTACAACCTTTCTGATATTAATCATTATAGCTTTTCTACTAGTTACTTTTCTCTAAAATCAAAACTATGGCTTATAACCACTATTGAAGACCAAATAATAATTGGTAAAGCAAGAAGACAGTCTACTTCAACTGGTCTTGTTCTTATAACATACTGGCAATATTTTTTTTAGTCACAATTTTTTAAACTATATCCAATACATCCTATTAATATTAAGCCATATTCTGGCTGCTTTTATAACTATAAACTTATTACTAATATTCAGCTCTCTAAAATTTCTTTTTATACAGATAGTTCTGTACTTAACTTTGGTTTACCAAACTGTTCAATAGGCATTGTATGGGTACAAATTCATCAAGAAAATATATTACACAGATTTCAGGCACAAATCAAATACTGGTCGTATTCCTTTAAAGCAGAACTTGTTGCTATACTTTTAGCAATTATTACAGCTTCTAGATTTTGTATCATTCATATCTTTACTGATTCAAAACAGTTATTTCCAAATACAATAGCCTTAAACAATTTTCACATTCCTTATCCTCTACAAATTCTTCATATTCTATACTCTGATATACTTTCATTAATATTACTAAAGCATATAACCTTCAAATCAATTTTCACAAAATTACTGCACACCAAGAAGACTGATTCAATAATCTAGCTGATCAACTAGCCTAATGTTATGTTACTTCAGATTATTTTATTTTCAAACCTTATAA